ATGGTGAGCCAGGATTATGCCAATGCACTCCAGCCTGGGCTACAGTGAGATCCTGACTCAAAAAGTAAAATAAAATAAAATAAAAAACAAGGCCAGGCACAGCAGCTCATGCATGTAACCCAGCACTGTGGGAGGCCAAGGCGAGAGGATTGCTTGAGCCCAAGGGCTTGAGACCAACATGAGTAACACAGTGTAAACTCATTTCTACAATAAATCAAAAAATTAGCCAGGTGTGGTGGCGCATAGTAGTCCCAGCTACCTGGAAGGCTTAGGTGGAAGGATCACCTGAGCCTAGCAGGTCGAAGCTGTGGTGGCTGTGATTGTGCCACTGCATTCCAGCCTGGGTGACAGAGTGAGACTTGATAGATAAATAGATAGATAGATAGATAGATAGATAGATAGATAGATAGATATTTCTATCTATCAAGCAAGTCTCAATCTTCCTTGAAATTCTTCTCTCTCAGCTCGGCTCAAATAACCTAAACTAAAAGAACTAATGTGCAAGGATAATTCATTGAATTGATAAATAAAATACTTCAATAATTCTTTTAAGAAATGACAAAAAAAAATCTCCTCCAGGGTTGTCACATTATGCTGCGGACCACACTGAACAGTATCTCCTAAATATGACTGCCCTAGGCACTGGGCTAGATGTGAATAAAGCTGCCTTGTCCTCATGGAGCTTAAACCTAAGGGGAGAGAGTGACAAGGAATCTCATGTGCAACCGATGCTGGAAATTAAGGTGCCACTACAGAGAGAGAACTCAACTATGTCTTTAATGATGGTCTTAGGAGAGGATGAGAGGAGGACTGTCACAGATTGCTCAGAAAGAGGGAATCAACAGAATGAGTCACTCGACTGTGGAATTTCTCAACCATTCATGAGAAGAGTATTAACAGCACCCCAAATTGATTGCCTCCTATTTCAGGAGCAGAGGTAAAATTAAATCTGTATTTCCTATCAGTCAGAACAAATTCTACATTGTGTCTAATTTGTAAAAAGCTACTACGAAGAATAACCACTGTCAGGCATCTAACCATCTCTGGCAGCCTCTAATAACACAATGCACAATACTACAACATGGGAGTGTGACAGTGGCCTGATAGCCTAAAGGTTTTCCAGAATATCCCAATTTGCACATATTTTATCCCACCATCCCCATAAAATGTCAAATTGCCCCAGGAACCCTCGGGGATGCCCTTTGCAAGTTATAGGGCAAGCCTGTGCCCTTCCCCATGGTCTATGCTCTCCCCTATCTAGCCCTTCTTCTGCAACTATATGACCTTGGGCAGGTCATTCAATGTCTCATAGCTTCTACATTAGCTGTAAATGGGGACAACAAGGTTGGATGTGATTCCCTACACCCAATACAGTACATTGCACACAGTGGGTATTTTGCAACTCCTAGAAAGAGCAAACTATTTTGGAGTGAAGGAAGCCAGAGTGACTCTGCCCCTACATCTGTCTGTTTATCCTGTTTCCTACAATTGAGCACTGGTCCGGGGCTGGGTGTTTGGCAAGCTTGTCCTTCACAAGCTAACACAAACAAGTCTTCCTCTGGAAAACCGTCCTGGGCACTTCCTCACCACACTCTCAGCGCTCTCTTTCATCTGCTATGCATCAGTGTCTATATGAGGCTTGTGTCCTAGTCCTGACTCTGATAAAATCTATCTCACAGTATCTCTGGGGCACCAAAGACGCAAATAAACTACTGGGTACCTATCTCCGGGCCAGGCAGACCTTATTTATCATGATGGCACAGGTGCTAGAAAGGCTCGGTGTCTTCCTAGAGGGGGTGAAAACCACGCGCTGTGTTTCTCCTCTTTGTTTTTTAACATTTCTGATTTAGGAGCACAACGCACACCTTGAAGCAAAAGTGGCTTTACAACATTTGGTTAAAATCTAAGGAAAGGGGGGAGGGGAAGGGAACCCTAATCAGAAACTTTTCACAGGAAACAGGAAGTGGCTGCTTCCCCACCCCCATCCTGCACTCTGAGCATACATAACCCAACTGGTTATTCTGTACAATTAGACAAAAGGGCAGAATCGGAATCAAGGAATCTTTGAGAAGTTGGAAACCACAGGGCCGTCTCTGCCAGCATGGAGGAGGCATGTTATTACAAGGTAGCAAAGCCGTGGACAAAACCCAGTTCAGCCCAGTCCCTGCACAGGGCTCTTGGTGAGACCGCACAAAGGCAAGGTCTGGAATCCCAGGGATTGTCATGAGGAATGCGCTGAATGCCTCGCAACCTTGAGGGCTCAGGGCTGGAATCCGAGCCTGAATTGTCCAAGTGGAACAGCTGACTAACAATGTCAGCTGGGGAATATTTTGATACCTTCAAACCGGGTTCCAAGTAAGAAGAGGCCACACAAAAAGCTCTGCGACTCTAGAGCCCTAAGGAATGGGACACAGAGGTTGCAAAGTGCCTGGCTGGGCTGCCCACATTCTCCTCATAGCAAGATAAAGCAGCTCCCAAAAGAGGCTTCCAGATCCACCCCAGTGGGCACCAGCAGAAGTGACTCTGGGAAACTTCCAGCTGTGAATGGCTAACAAAACTAGGCGCTCTCCATTTGAATGTGAAAGACCCGCCTCAATCAGAGAAGGCCCGTAAGCCATAAAACCCTGCTCACCAAGGCCAAGTGTCACACTTGTAAGAGGGTGTGATTTATAAACTGACAGCACCCACAAAGCTGCTTTTGTGCTCCTCCGTTTGTTAACAGTTTATCTCCCCCCACCAAACTCCCAGAGCTATTCAGACAAAGCTTGACTGAGCCTCAAAAAGAAAGAAAGGCAGAAAGAAAAGGACCCAAGTTTTGGCCAAAACACCAAGGTTCACTCTGGATAATTATGGTCCCGTGAATAGACACTAAAATTAGGGCTTAATAATTCCTCTGTATCACACTTACAGCATCGAGCTGCTCCAATACAAACATAAAAAGCAAGAGAAAGAACGTCTCCAACGCTGCCTTGCTGGAGACTCCAGTCCCACTTCTGTGGTTTTCTGCAGTCTCTTTTGTGGTTTCTGCACCTTAGAATCCCCCTTTTAGAGCAATTTTAACTCGACATTCTGACCAGCTGTTTTTCTTTCTCAACATTTAAATCTACAAAGCAGAGAGTAAATATGGGCTTGGTCATGTCTTTCCTCTCAGTTCAACAAAACCACTCTGGCCCCTTTATCTTGTCTTCCCCATCACACTGTTCCCTTCTGCTCAGATTCCAACCCTAGATGCAGAAACCTTCAACTTCTGATCCCTTACCCACTCCTTTCTATAAAACGCATTTAATAGCCAGGGCTCGGTGGCTCAGCCTGTAATCCCGCACCTTTGGGAGGCTGAGGTGAGTGGATTGCCTGAGCCCGTGAGTTTGAGACCTGCCTGGGCAGCGAGACCTCATCTCTACAATAAATCAAAAAATTAAGCCGGGCTCGGTGGCTCAGCCTGTAATCCCGCACCTTTGGGAGGCTGAGGTGAGTGGATTGCCTGAGCCCGTGAGTTTGAGACCTGCCTGGGCAGCGAGACCTCATCTCTACAATAAATCAAAAAAAATTAGCCGGGCGTGGTAGCGTGCGCCTGTAGTTCCAGCTACTTGGAAGGCTGAGGCGGAAGGATCGCCAGAGCCCAGCAGGTCGAGGCTGCAGTGGCCAGGAAAGGCCACTACACTCCAGTCTGGGCGACAGAGTGAGACTCCAACTCAAAAAACAAAACAAAACAAAACAAACAAACAAAAAAACAACGCATTTAATTACTGTACCTCATGCAAACAGAGGCTAAGCCTCTAACAAAACTACATTAAAAAACACACTCCCGCCAGCTCGGTAGCTCAGCCTGGTAATCCCAGCGCTTTGGGAGGCTGAGATGAGTGGACTGCCTGAGCCCGCGGGTTCGAGACCCGCCAGACCAACTTGGCGAGACCTCATCTCTACAATAAAATCAAAAATTAGCCAGGCGTGATAGCATGCGCCTGTAGTTTCAACTACTTGGAAGGCTGAGGCAGAAGGATCGCAGGAGCCCAGCAGGTTGAGGCTGTGGTGGCTGTGAGCGAGCCACTGTACTCCAGCCTGGGTAAAAGAGTGAGGCTCCAACTCAAATAAAAACAAAAAAAACAAACAAAAAAAAAAACCACACTCCTGGCTGGGCGTGGTGGTGACTCACACTGCAATCCCAGCACTTTGGGAGGCTAAGGCAGGAAAATCTCTTGAGCCCAGGAGTTCAAGATCAATGTAGGTAACTTAGCAAGACCTCATCTCTATGAAAAATCAAAAAACTAATCAGGCATGGTGGCGTGCACCTGTAGTCCCAGCTACTCAGAAGGCTGAGGTGGAAAGATCGCCTGAGTCCAGGAGGTTGAGGCTACAATAATCCCTGATTGTGCCACTGTACTTCATTCAGCCTGGGTGACACAGTGAGATCCCAGACTTTAGAAAAAAAGAAAGAAAAGAAAAACTAAGAAAACATAATACTCCTGATGATACTTGTCAACACTAAAGGTTTTTCTTACTGCTTGGTGAAATTTTAAAAAGGAAAAAAAACTTTTTAAAAAAGAAGCAAAACAAAAGCAATTCAAGTTTAAACTGGACCCTGCCCACTTAACAATTTACTACATTGTCTATAAATATGACAAAAACATTTTTCCAAAAGTAATGGCCTCTGCTCAAAAACGGCCTTTCTGATACTATATCCACCAGAGGTCAGAAGTGGTGGCCCACAGACCAAATCCAGGCATGTTCTGTTTGGCCCCAAAGTGCTGACATTTAAGTCAATTTGAGTAAGTTACCAATATGAAGAAGTATAGGGCAAAGCATACAAAAATCTGCAATTACTGATTCTCTTGAAAAACCCCATTGCAAGTACTGGGCCCACAATCCTCACAGCAAAAGCCGGCTGGTACTGGAGCCTCCCTCAAGACCACTGTAGCAGCTTGTGTCTCCTTTCCAATTGTAACTGCCAGTTTCCTAAAAGGTCCAGGGCTTCCAACCTCTGCCCCTTACTCTACACGTACCTTTTTGACCATGGTTGTCTCAGAAGAGTCAAGTTTTGCTCTCTTGGTATCAGGCCCATCTTCAACTCCTTGGCTAACTTTGGCAACTTTGGTTTTCTCCCTGGAGGGGGGCAAGGGGAGGGAATCAAGTTCTACCCTCTGAATCATGCCATCAGAATAAAAAAAGTGGGTCTTTCCCGCAGCAACCACATGGTCTCGCTCATAAGCAGACCCTGAACATTGACCATAATACTATAAGAAAAGGATCGGCAGTAGTGAGAGACTGGGGGGGGGGGCGCACATAACATTAAGAAGGGTACCTGAATTCAAACCAGGAGAAGTGGGGACCAAAAGGAGGCCCAAAATCTACCTGTACAATGGCCACTTATCCACTCAATCCGGACTTGCACCCCACATCTTTAAAATACATAAAAATAGACCCGGCGCGGTGGCTCATGCCTATAATCCCAGCACTTTGGGAGGCTGAAGGGAGAGGATTGCCTGAGTCCACAGGTTCAAGAACTGCCTGGGCAACTTGGTGAGACTTCATCTCTACCATAAAAATCAAGAAATGAGGCAACCCCTTTGGGTCCCCACTTCCCACAGTGAGAGCTTTTCTGTCCTCTTAATAAATCCTGTTTTTTTTAAATAAAATATAAAATAAATTAAAATCAAGAAATTAGCTGAGCATGGTGGCACACACCTGAAGTTCTAGCTACTTGAAAGGCTGAGACAGAAGGATCACCCGAGCCTAGCAGGTTGAGGCTGCGGTGGCCATGAGCATGTCACTGCACTCCAGCCTGGGCAACAGAGTGAGATTCCAATTCAAAAAATAAATAAAATAAATAAATTTTTAAAAAAGAATAAAAAAAGCAGCAGCAGCTCACAGAACAGGATAGTGGTTAAGGGCAAAAGCTTTGAGGGTAAAAGTTTTGGAGTCACACAGACCACTGTAATCCCAGTTCTGCCACTGCCCACTGATGAGTCAGTTACCTACTCTGTGGGAATTCCAACTCCTGATAGGATTATTTTAAAAGGAGAAATACAATGAATTGCTCAGCATACTGCTCCCAAGTAAACACGAGCAATAAATGAAAGTGATTACTTTGTAAACATTCTACTTGAATCCTGAAATAAACAGCCAAGTTCAGTTCCTCTCCTCTGCTGTGGACAGCTCATGTTAAAATCACCTGGCTTGGGCCAGGCTCGGTGGCTCAGCCTATCATCGCAGCACTTTGGGAGGCCGAGGCAAGTGGATTGCCTGAGCCCGTGGGTTCGAGACCTGCCCAGACGACTTGATGAGACCTTGTCTCTACAATAAATCAAAAATTAGCCGGGCGTGGTAGCACGCGCCTGTAGTTCTGGCTACTTGGAAGGCTGAGGCGGAAGGATCGCCAGAACCCAGGAGAGTGAGGTTGCAGTGGCTGGGAGCGGGCCACTGCACTCTAGCCTGGGCACCAGAGTGAGACTCCAACTCAAAAAAAATAAAATAAGCCGGGCTCGGTGGCTCAGCCTGTAATCCCGTGCCTTTGGGAGGCTGAGGTGAGTGGATTGCCTGAGCCTGCGGGTTCGAGACTCGCCTGGGCAGCGAGACCTCATCTCTACAATAAATCAAAAAATCAGCTGGGCGTGGTAGCGCATGCCTATAATTCTGGCTACTTGGAAGGCTGAGGCGGAAGGATCGCCGGAGCCCAGCAGGTCGAGGCTGCGGTGGCCGGGAGCAGCCACTGCACTCCAGTCTGGTTGACAGAGTGAGACTCCAACTCAAAAATAAATAAATAAATAAATAAACAAACAAATAAATAAATAAATAAAATAAACACCTGATTTGCTTTCCACTGCTATGACTTCTTTGACCATTTATCATATGTCCAAAGAACTAGAGGAGTTAGGGGTTAAGAGATATCTGGAACAAGACTGTCCTTCCTCCAACTTTACAGGCAAGAAACCTGCAGACCAGCCGGGCTCAGTGGCTCTGCCTGTAATCTCGCACTTTGGAAGGCTGAGGTAAGTGGATTGCCTGAGCCTGCGGATTTGAGACCCGCCTGGGCAACTTGGTGAGACCTCATCTCCACAATAAATCAAAAATTAGCCGGGTGTGGTAGCACGCGCCTGTAGTTCCAGCTACTTGGAAGACTGAGGTGGAAGGATCGCCAGAGCCCAGCAGGTCGAGGCTGCGGTGGCCGGGAGTGTGCCACTGCACTCCAGTCTGGGCGACAAAGTGAGACTCCAACTCAAAAAAAAAAAAAGAAACCTGCAGACCAGAAAAATTGCTGTGACTGGTCTGACCCTCAGTCATCTGCAGGAAGCTCCACCCCACCACACAGGTCCTCTCTGCCTCTCATTAGCAAGCTGGGGAGGGAAAGGCTCATAAACTGCAGCCAAAAAAGCCAACTCATGTAGGTTTACAGTATCAGCTGCCATCTTTCATCTAGAAGCTACAAGTTCAAAACACTGCAGGTCCCATCATGTGAGAATCACCGAGGTCTGCACCTTCCATGTGCAAAACAAGGATAAGGTCTGCCTGCTCCACCAGAGTGTCTCTGGACCTTGGTGCTTTTCCAAGGTAGACTTTGGCTGATGTGCCTCCACAGTTACCCATCTATTTGGTACTCACTTTACTACCTCTCAACGTGAAAACCTGCACACCCAAGCTGGAGAACAAACGTTTACAATTTGAGCAGGCCTTCTCTATGCAGAAAATATGACTTCAGCACCTAAGTCCAGATCCATGTGGTGTACTGTGATCGTCAAAGAACTCAGTTTGCTTCAGCCTTTAGATCAGACCATCATTTTAGAGGGTGGGGCCATATCTCCTACAATTCTAAACCCACAAATCTACTATACTCAGTAAGTGCTTGATAACTGGGTTTCAGAATGTTCTAAATTTTATAGCAAAAATGTTTTCTTAGAAGGTTCATTTCCTACCAGTAAATAAGACTAGATTTTGACAATGTTATGTTCCCCTTCCTCTCCAAACACTTACTCTACAAACTCATGCTCTCCAAGGTTGGCAAATGTATATCCATGGTAGCCAAAAACATCTCCTGTGAAGAACTTGATGCTATTTTTGTGACAGATCTGGTCAACTTTCACTATGACGTCCCTGGAGCAGCAAGTCAGACACACCTGCAGAAAGAAAGAAGGTGGATGGGTGTGAGTTTTGCAAACTGTGAATCACTGCCCCGATGTCTAAACGAATCTTAATGAACAGTCTCTCTGGGCATGTTTAAAGCCCGTTTCAAACTGGTACAACTGGTTCTTTGGGTCCTATGGTTAGAAGACAAAAGAAAAGTTGCAGGCTTCAATGTGTAGAAAATGTAAATCATAAGGCCATCACTTTCTACAACGAAGATGTTTAGCTACAAAGTATAAGCCATGCAATGAAATTTCTTTCCCGTAATCCATGAACATGTACATTTCATAGTTTTGATAGGGGGAAAAAAAAATCTTAGTAAGTTATTCTAAACTATTAAATCTATTAAAATCCAAATAAGCTACAGTAAGAAGCAAACCAGTTTTTGTTTAAATACAGGGGCTTTTCCTTCCTTCTTCTGATTGATATGTTAAGATAAAGAAGATAAACAAGTACTGTGAGATCATTTTTCCATAGATTGCGGTGTGAAACTTTATCTGAATTTTAGGACAAAAGAAAAGGTTAGAGACTAAGTGACCTTCCATTCAGACAGAGACAATGAACCGGTGATTCACTCAGTGGAATTATCACTGTTGCTCTGGGGTCTCTAGGTTGTGTTCCAATAAGTTGAGGTATTGGAAATGGCTAAGTTCTACTGTACAAAATACCATCTCTTTGGGAGAAGCTTTGTGATCATGGTCAAAAGACAACTTCCAAATTGCACCTGCTTTCTCCTGAACAAAAGAACACATTCATTTGATAGACCCTCTTTGCTGTTGTCTAGCAGCTTGAATACTGAAATAACACTCACAGAGAGATGTGTTCCTTTGGTATTTCAAAGGATGCAGCCACCCAAGGAAAAATCACATCTGAGAGGTAAGAAATCCACAGGTGAACATGCAACCAATTGATCAAATGGAACCCTGTAGAGTCCAAAGTGACTGTAAAACCTGCAAGGACCAGCCAAACCTGGCCCACGAGGCAGTCCTCCTGGCCCCGTGCACATGCATTATACCATCAACCAGCCTCACACTTCAGTTTGAACAAACCCTCTCTCTAATTCGACAGGTTCAAGGGACACCCAGAATAAATGAAATGTGGTTACTATGGATAAGAAAATGAAGAGAAGACTTATGTCTAAATGGAAAGTGTTCCAATACCTGAAGTTAAAAAATAGAAGGAACTGGGAAAAAAGAAAACAGGACAAATGCACAGATGATCCATCATCCCAAGCCCATATTTGAACAGATGCACGTATGAAATATAACAGTGTGAAAAACAAACTACCCAACCCAAATTCTAACCTCTCATGTAATGTAATGGGGCCTTTCGTCTGAAAAACAAGTAGCTCATCTGTGACTATTTCACAGTTATCCAAGATTTGTTCAGCTTTTCTAGAGGACAGGGAACTACATCTGAAAGGTCACAGACAATGACACAGAATTTAACTTATCCTTTCACCTCTGCATAGTTTTGGCAGCGAAACCAAATGAGGTTGGATATGCCTAATTTGGCTTATGACTATAGTGATTTTTGTCTCCTTATCCATGGCAACATGCTTAAAGTGACTGTGCGAAACAGACAAGACAGACACAGACCAAGATCAGGTGTGCTTCTCCTTAAGACAAAACACAAGCTGTAGTTTGGTATTTCTAACAAAAAAATCCCTCTACCACAGAAATTAATCACCAACTTGTTAAATGTTCAAAGAAAACATTTGCAATAACATAGATTAAAGCTATGGACAAAGATTCTGGAAGGAAGACAAAACACCAAAGATGAAACCTGGTCCTGGGGAGCATACACCAGAGAAGCCAGAAGCCAGCAGCCAGCAAGCCACCACCAGCTACAGCAGGTCCAATAGACTGGACCTCTCAGCAACACATTCATGCAATGTACTAAGTCGAAAGAATCCAGAACAGCTTATAAATGTACTCGGTAAAATGCATACAAGCTGATATTCGAATGCTCTAGTAACATCTAACATACACACAAACTAGTGCCCTGATTTGCTTAATTCCCACAGCAGATTTTATAGTAAGAAACTTACGGCATCAAACTGAGTGAAAAACGACTCAGGTTTCTTCTCTATATCTTCAGTGTCCACCTTTACATCTACCATGGGGTTGAGATTCTGGGCTCGCTCCAGAGAGGCTTCAGCCCTGTTTCGGCCAACAGACCCAGCACGAATCAGGAACTGAGCTCCAGGATCTTCTGGAGACACCTGGGAATAATAAGACACTTCTTAAAAATTCTTGAATTCTTTTGGAAATTAATCTCAAAGACAACCTTTAAGTTTTATAGGGCAGCTAAAATACCTGCCATCTAATTGTATTACTGTTTCTATAGCAATTTTCTTAATGCAGACTTCTTTCTAAGGCTTTAAGATAGGACATTTAACTTTTTACTCAGCACTAGTGGTTAAACAGCACCCCCTTGTGTTTACAAAAGAAAATTCACTCTAAACAGAAAAGTTCTCTTAAACATCTACCCATGGGCCAACCCTAAGCATTCAGGGAAATATGTAAGTAGTTGAAAGGATGAGATCTTGTCTACAAGTGGTTTAAAATCAGAACAGTGCGGCTGAGTACAGTAGCTCACTCCTGTAATCCCAGCACTTTGGGAGGACGAGGTGAGGGAATCGCTGAAGCCAGAGTTCAAGACTAG